GGCCCCACGGGTGAGCCCCGCGGCGCCGCTCCGCCTGCCCGGCCACGCGCTCCGGGCAGGGCTCCCCAGCTGCCCTGGGACTGTGTCCCATCCTAGGGAGCGCGCGGTGCTGCCGGAGCCCAACGCCGGTGCAGCCATCGGAGACGCTGCGAGGGGCGCGGAGGCCATGGAGGATGCGGAGGCCGCGGCGGGCGCGGAGGACACAGAGGCGTTGCTGGCGGCGCTGCCGCGGCGGGTGCTGCTGCCCGCGCGCAGGGCGCTGTGCCGGCCCGCGCCGCACCGCTGGGCCAAGCGCTGCTGCACCCGCTCGTGCAGCGGCCGCCTGGGCCGCGCGCCGCCCGCCCGCTACCCGCAGTGACCGTGAGTGGCACCGGCGCCGCGCCGTGTCCCGGATTTCCCGGGGCCGGGAATGCCGCGTTGTCCTCGGCGGGTCCCTCGCAAAGGGGCTATGCGCGTCTCTCCTTGCAGGCCCCTTGTGTCTCGGCCAAGATGCGCTGCCCRCAGGGACATCCGCAGGGAGCCACCGTGCTGGAAATAAAGGGAATAACCGGAGGCTTCCTGGCATGGAATGTCTCTGCTCGTCGGCACCTCCTTGACAGCTCATGGATAAAGCTCCTGCTGGCCCGAACTCCCTGCCCAGAATGGAAGGGGACCCTGTCCCCATCGTCAGGTCTTGGCACTGCTCACCAGCAACGTTAATGAGTGGCTATAGCGAGTGCTGTAATTAGCAGTAACGATATCACCAGCCTGGACAGGAGCAGCCATGAAGTGATGCCATGAAAACAGCCTGAAAAGCCATGCCTATTCCTGCTGGGAAGAAGGGACTCTCTGGACACAAAGCCGGAATCCGGCTGTAGTGATGCCGAAGAGCCGGACGCAGCCCTGGAGGCTGTTACAGTGCCGGGAACTGGGACACCGGCCCCRGAGCAGCAACTTGTGCAGGTGGTGACGCTGCAGGCCCTGCGGCTGCTCCGGCTCCGCTCTCCGCCTTGGTTTATCCTGGGGCTGGAAGCGCTGCAGGGCTTAGGGTGTTCATGGGATCTGCAGGCCGGAGCAGCTCAGGACCTGGGAGCAGCACCGGGCGAGAGTTGGGGGAGCGAGAGGGGCAAGAACCAGGGAGCTGGAGGATGGGGTGGCCCTGGCTCCTGCCACGCGGCGTGGGGTGCGATGTGGGTCCAGGGTGCGATGTGGGTGCAGGATGTGATATGGGCATGAGGTACAATGCAGGTGCAGGGTGC